TTTTATTTATTTTATTTTTTATTTTTTACCTGTTTGTTGACTGTTGACACCTAAGGACGCGTCCCCCTGACAAAATGTTTGGCTTTCGTACTCCCAACAAACAGACTGAGAACAGTGCCAAGGACTCGAGTCCTCAAAGTTCTCCCAACAGTACAGAGAAGGCAGGACCTTCTACAAAAAAAGGATCCACTAACACAGATCCCTAGTGTTAGAAAAAGCATCGGTGAATGGGAATCCGGAAAGATAGACCCGGAAGCTGTAAAACAGACCTCCCCAAAAAAGACAGCCCCACTGGCTCGACAAAAACAAAAGATCGTCCCGACTCAGGAAGCAAGAGGAACAGCTCGTAAAACGGCAGCTGAGAATATAGACAGCTCTCCGAAAGTCGAAGTCACAAAATACGCGGATCGCCTGACGGAGGCTCGAGCCTGCCTCCATAAGGCTAAATTACATCTAAATAACTCTCGAAATCTGCGGAATGACATTAAAATAGAAGTCACTCAGGCAATAGAGAGACTCTACCAATTAGTGAAAGAGGCAGAAACAGGAAAGAAAGCAGAGAAAGAGGAAAAAACTAAAGATCAGGAGAGACTGGAAAATAAAGAAAAGAAAACAAAGGAAGAAGAACAAAACCTCATGAAAAAATTAGACGAACATAGTAAACTTCTAGAGGAGAGCAGGAAAGAGATGGAAAAATTAAGGGAAGAAATGAAAACACACGATATTAAAGAACATAGAGTAACATACGCTAGTGTAGTGGCTGGGCCACAAAAGGGTATTTCAGAAACAACGGCTATGCACTCAGTAATAATTACGTCTAACGACGAAAAAGAAACAGGTGATCAAGTGATGGATAGGATTAGAAAGGCAATAAATGCAAAAGAAGAAGGATTAAAAATAGATAAAATCAGGAAAGCAAGGGACAGAAAAGTAATAGTGGGGTGCCGAACGGAAAAGGAGATAAGTAAAGTCAAGGAAAGACTAAAGATGGCAGGAAAAGACCTCAATGTAGATGATATACAAAACAAGGATCCACTCGTTATCCTAAGGGATGTTCTACAATACAATACAGATGAGGAAATACAAAAAGCAATAAGAATGCAGAATAAACACCTCTTTAAAGATTTACCAGACAAAGATGACCGAATGGAGATCAAATACCGGAAAAGGACTAGGAACCCGCACACATCCCACGTCGTAATCAGAGTTTCTCCCAAAATATGGAATCGCTTAATAGAAGCTTCAGTAATTCATATTGATCTACAACGAATTAGAGTAATGGATCAATCCCCTTTGATCCAGTGTTCGCGATGCCTAGGATACGGACACAGTAAACGCATATGCAGCGAAACGACTGAAATCTGTTGTCACTGTGGAGGACCACATTTAAAAACTGAATGTGTCGAGTGGCTATCCGGAGGAATGCCATCATGTATTAACTGCAACAGGGCAAAACTCGACAAAAAAGAACACAATGCATTTAGCATAGACTGTCCAGTTAGGAAAAAATGGGAAGCCCTGGCAAGGTCTACAGTGGCATATTGCTAAGGTTGTCCCCAAATCGAACATTGAACCAAACACCGGAAACCACCGATACCACGGAATTCAAGCGAACCTACAAAGATGTGAGCTAGCCACGGCCGAACTAATAACAGAGGCGACAAAGAGGAGGATAACCTTCGCTATGGTTCAGGAGCCATATATTGGACGAATCGGACAGATGAGAAACTATCCCGGGACGAGAATAGTACAATGCCACAGAAGCCTGTACACTGAAAAGGTTATTAAGGCGGCCATTGTGCTATTCGACGACACCATTGACGTGACCCCATGCCCCAGTCTAACAACAGAGAATATTGCAGATACAATAACGCAAGCTTGCGAACATAGTATACCAAAGATAAATAACAAAAAACGAGTAGGACTGCCCTGGTGGACCGAAGAGCTTACACAGAAGAAAAAGGAGGTCTCCAGGTTGAGACGTCGAATTGCATACGCAGCACCAGTCCGTCGTGAGTGGGTAATCGAACAATATATAAAAGCGAAGGAAGAATACCAACAGGAAATAAAGAAGGCACAGACTACCAGTTGGAAAGAGTTTTGCAGCAAACAGGAGCGGGAAACAATGTGGGATAGTGTGTACAGGGTTATAAGCCGAACAATGGTGCGACAAGAAGACATTCCGCTTGTTCAAGGTGGGAAGACTCTGGAGAGAGAAGAGTCGGCCAGGATACTGGCCGAAATCTTTTATCCAGAGGATCGGAACGAAGAGGATGACGCAGAACACAAGCTGACGAGAGAGGTAGCTGAAACAGTAAATGAGGGGACACTTGATGTTTCATGTGACCCACCCATTACAGCGGAGGAGTTAAAGTGGGCTGCGTTAAGCTTCAACCTAAAAAAGGCGCCAGGAGATGACGGCCTTACAGCGGATGTTTGTGTAGTTGCTATAACCCTGGATGTAGGACTGTTCTTGGCACTGGTTAACAAATGTCTGGAACTTGCATACTTCCCTAAAAAATGGAAGAAGGCGGTAGTGATAGCGCTAAGAAAGCCTGGCAAGGAGGATTACACAAACCCCAGATCTTACAGGCCGATTGGGCTATTGCCTGTGCTGGGCAAGATCTTTGAGAAAATTGTAATCCGCAGAATCAAGTGGCACATCGTACCAAAGATAAGCAGGCAACAATATGGGTTCATGCCACAGCGCAGTACCGAGGACTCCCTCTATGACATGATACAATTTATAACAACTAAGCTGAAAGATAAAAAACTCATTTTACTAATATCATTAGACATAGAGGGAGCCTTCGATAATGCCTGGTGGCCGGCAATACGATGTGGACTTGCGAAAACTGGATGCCCAATAAACCTAAGACGCCTGATAGACAGCTATCTCAGGGATAGAACAGTGTGCCTGAGATATGCTGGGGCAGAATGGACGAAAACCACAACAAAAGGGTGTGTGCAAGGTTCAATAGGGGGTCCGATTTTTTGGACCATATTATTGGACACACTACTAAAGGAATTAAGCGCAAAAGGGACTCACTGCCAGGCTTTTGCGGATGATGTGGTCCTGATGTTCTCGGCAGATACGGCAAAGCAAGTTCAGGAGCAGGCGAATGTTACTCTCGCACATGTCCATAGGTGGGGGGTGAAAAACAAGCTCAAGTTTGCGCCACACAAAACTAAAGCGATGGTCATAACAAATAAGCTTAAGTACGACTTACCACTTCTGGAGATGGGTGGGGAGAGCATCAGCCTCTCCAAAGAAATTAAAATACTCGGCCTCACAGTCGATAGCAGGCTTGCCTTCGATAAGCATGTGAAAAATGTATGTCGTAAGGTACAGAATCTGTATTATCAGCTGTCGAGAGCCGCTAAGATCCATTGGGGCCTAAATCCCGAGATCATCAGGACCATATACACAGCAGTGGTGGAGCCGATCATCTTGTATGCGGCCAGTGCATGGGCACCAGCAATCAACAAACAAAAAATAAGAAAAGAATTTAACTTGGTGCAACGCGGTTTTGTACAGAAAATAATAAAATCATACAGGACGGTCTCATTACACTCAGCCCTACTACTCGCCGGGCTGCTTCCTTTGGATCTAAGGGTCCGGGAAGCAGCCTCGCTTTATGAAATAAAGAAAGGTTTCTCCCGACGAATAGTGGGTGACAGAGATGTAGAAAACAAAATAAAATACACAAAGACCCCACATCCCGCGGAACAAATCGGATTGAAGTTCGTATGCCTGGAAGACGGTGCACAGATGGAAAAATACGATAACAAGGGCCTTAAAATATTTACAGACGGCAGCAAAATTGAGGGGAAAGTCGGCGCGGCGTTATCCATCTGGAATAACGACGCGGAGGCGAGTACGCGAAAATTTAAACTAGAAAATTTTTGCACCGTCTACCAGGCAGAACTGTTGGCTATCTACGAAGCAACCAAATATGCACTTGAAACACCAGCAGTGAGCTGTAATATATACAGCGATTCAAGATCCGCTCTAGAAACAACTGTACAAGACGTTTCCCTCCATCCTCTTGCGATGAAGGCAAGAAGTAATATCATAGAGATCTATAGACAAAATAAATCACTAAATTTATTTTGGGTTAAAGCCCATGCAGGATTGGAGGGAAACGAAAGAGCGGACGAGCTGGCTAAAGAAGCCGCCACAAAAATTAAAAGGAAGCCAGATTATGAAAAGTGTCCGGTCTCATTTGTCAAGCGACAGATCCGATTGGAGTCGCTTGACGAATGGAATCGGCGCTATATTGAAGGAGAAACGGCCTCCACGACAAAAATATTCTTTCCAAACGCCATAGATGCATATTATATAATAAGAAAAATAGACATGGATCCTATTACGACACAAATTATGACGGGACATGGGGGCTTCTCCGAATATTTGCATAGATTTAAATGCAAGGACAGTCCCGCATGTCCCTGTGACCCAACAAAATGGGAAGATGTAATGCATATTATAATAGAATGCCCTATCTATTGCAAAGAAAGAAATGATGTAGAAATAGATATAGAAATAAAAATAAGTAAGGAAAATGTAAACGAAATAGTAAAAAATAAGCACTCTAGAGATAAGTTCTTAAAATATTGTAAGAATATAATAAGAAAAGTAATAAATAAGAATAAATAGAAATAAGAAACAAGGGTACTGTAACATATATGTAAGCATATAATGCTAACAGTCCCACAAAGACATTTAGTAATAAGAACTCGAATTTAATGTAAATAAAAAGCAATTGTAAAAGAAATAATGTTATATAGATAGTAGTGAATTAAAAACAAATAAAAGAAAAGAAAATACACTAAAAGGTGAAAAAAGAAACACCTACTGAAGAAAAAGTCCCTGAGTTCTCATGTCAGGGGAACTAGAAAAAAAAAAAAAAAAAAAAAAAATAACATAACCTAACCTAACCTAACCTAACCAACTATAAATTCGCTAATAACTTTCCCAAAAATTGTTGATCATTTAGGAGGCAAAGTTTAAATAAAATGGCGTGCACAGATACTGAAACTAGTGGCATCGCAAATGAAAATTCACCCTATCATAGGATGCCTACTTCTGCAAGCATACTCGAAGGCCTTAATTCAATAACCACTATAGCGAATAACATAATCACAACCATATCGGCTGGCAGAAGTGTGACATCAGACAGCAAAAAAGCGATTATAGAAATGGCGCATGACATTAACAGAATCATAAGAGAAACACAAATAAAAACTGAATATACGGCAAATATTATAGAGGTTAAAGAGTCGCTGCAAAATACTATTAAGGAAGAGATTTCCAAACTCTCGATACGCACTCAAACCAAATCCTATGCGAGTGTTGCTTCTACTCCTCGTCCTCCGCCGAGCAATCCAGCACCCACACATGCATCAAAACCGGCTATTATTGTCACTCCTACTAATAAAGTTAATTCGCGACAAGAAGTTATCGAATCATGGCGCAAGAGTATCTGTTTTAAAAGTTGTAATTATGCACCCTCCAAATTGCAAGTCATATCAAATAATAAACTCCGAGTAGAATTCGATACATGCTCCCAGAGGGACGACGCTTTAGAACGTTTGAAATCTGCTACGACAGTTAACGCTGAAGCCGCGCGCAAAATGAACCCTATGGTCATCTTAAAGGGCGTATCAAATGACGTCCCATCAGAAGAGTTAGTCAGTATCATCACAGGGCAAAACGACGAATTACGGGACCTCATAAATAATACGGACGACGCTCTTTGCTTACGTTTTAAGAGGAAAAACAAAAACCCTAAATTATATAACGCAGTTTTCTTATGCAATCCTACGATATGGCGCAAAATAATGGATTCCGGAAGAATAAACGTTGATCATCAACGTATACATGTCGAAAATTTTTGCCCATTCATTCAGTGCTTTAGCTGTCTTCAGTTTGGACACGTTCAAGGCAAGTGCACCAATAATATCCATCCCTGCTCGCACTGTGCAGCAGGAAATCACACATACACAAACTGTCCAAATAAGGCGAATAAATCGGCTACTACGTGCTACAACTGCCAAATGCATAATAATAAGTTCAATACCAAATTTGACACACAACATGCAGCAACTTCCTTTTCCTGTCCTAGAGTCAAAGCCATGAAAGAGCGTATAAACCAGCGAATCGACTATGGATCAACAAATAAAATAAAAATAATTCAGTGTAACATAGACCGATCCAAAAGCTGCCAACAATAATTTTTACGATACTTTGCTGCAAACGATTACTCTATAGCAATAGTCTCAGAACCATATTTAGGAACCAAACAAGAAATGAAATCAATACAAGGCCTTTGCATATACCAATTCCCAGGTGACCAAAAAAGTCAAAGCTTGCATAATAGCTAAAAATAATTGTGGAACGTTAATAGGTATGACACAGTTTTCCACTTCTAACCTCTGCGTTGTCCAAATGACAATAGGCACAAGGAAATTATATATTGCATCAGCATACGTTGAGCCCCGAGACGATGAACACGCAACACTTGAGCGCTTAGAGGCCTTTCTTAAATCAACCAATGACTCTCATCGTATAATATGTGGTGATTTTAATGGTTGGCACCCACTATGGGGCTGTGAAACAACCAACAAAAGAGGTCGCGAAGTGGCGGAACTTATAATAGGAAATGATATGTATATTTGCAACCAAGGAAGCGTCCCAACGTTTGAAACCGTCACACATGGTAGAAATTGCTCCTCTATTATCGACATAACTTTTGCCTCAGGGTCTATATACGAGAAAATAAATAGCTGGAATGTTAACCTGGAGGCTTGTCCCTCATCTCAACATAATTCTATTGAATTTACGCTCAACCTATATAACGTTAACACCACAAAAAGAAAAAACACATCCACATATCTGTATAAAAGTGAGAAAGCTAACTGGGCAGAGTTTAAGGCAGTCTTAGACCTCAAAATGTGCAATAACGGATGCCTAGACGTAGATATTCCCACATTAAATACCAACGAATTAGAATCCTTTATTACAAAAATTATCAGTACAATCCATGAAGCTTGTCGAGCATCCATGCCAATGAAGCACAACGGCACCCAATGTAAACCCATATGGTGGACAGACAAATTGGAAAAACTGAAAAAAGATGTTATCTCCCTCCATCATAAAATTCATCATACCAAACGCAAAGGGCTTGCCCTGGACCAACTGTTAGAAGAAAGAAATAGAAAAAAGAAAGAGTACGGGGATGAGCTGCGGAGAACATCAACAGATAACTTTAGAGAATTCTGTGAACGGCAAGGTAAGGAGAATGTTTGGTCAGTTACCAACAGACTTTTAAAGGAGACAAAGTCTAATTGCTCACCGAGTACTCTAAAAGTAGGAAACAGCTATACTAATGATGAAAAAGAAACCGCAAAGGCACTACTAAATCATTTCTACCCTGAAGACAGTCCAGACTCTAATCCCACACATGAACAACTCAGGAAAAATCGCGAACTATTTCCCAAAACAAATGACGACCCTCCCTTTGTTAAAGAAGAAGTTATAGAATGCATCCAAAACATGAATCCCAAACGAGCTCCCGGTATCGATAATCTAACAGCCGATATTTGCACTCAATTTTCTATAGCCTATCCAAAACTTATAACAGAAATAATGAACAGATGCTTGTCCCTCCAATATTTTCCACAACAGTGGAAAATCGCATACGTTAAAATCATTCCGAAACCCAATAAATCTGATTGTACTAATTTAAACTCTTTCCGCCCAATAGGTCTTCTTCCCGTGTTTGGCAAATTACTTGAAAAACTTTTCATAAATAGAATCAAATACCAGGCTACACGAGATGGCAGAATGAGCAACCGACAGTTTGGTTTCAAAGAGCAACTTAACACAACTGCAGCTATTGCCAATGCCATAAAAACCATCCAAAAAGCTAAAGAGAACAAACAACAGGTAATAGCCATCTCCTTGGATATCAAGGCAGCGTTTGATAACGCTTGGTGGCCCGCCTTACTTCACAGACTCCGATACATTCGGTGCTCTCGTAACATCTTCGGATTAATATGTAATTATATAGAAAATAGGAAAGTATCACTGAACTACGGAGGTACTGAGGTCACCAAAATGATGTCCAAGGGATGTATACAGGGTTCAACTTGTGGACCAACTCTTTGGAATCTAATTCTCGACGAACTCTTGGAAACTCAGTTGCCAACAGGTTGTCACATCCAAGCCTTTGCGGACGATGTATTGCTTATTGCACACGCACACGATAAAAATGAATTAGAAGTTATTACTAATAAAGCACTAAGCGAAATTGTACAATGGGGAGATAAAGTCAAACTCTCTTTTAGCCCTGAAAAGACACAGGCAATCGCTTTCACCCCAAAAGCCAAGTCAGTTAATTTAGTGATGAACAAAATGTTGCTTCCGTTTGTTAAAGAAATAAAATTATTAGGGGTCATCGTAGATACAAAATTAACTTTCAACAGTCACATTAAATATGTTACAAATAAAGCCATAAAAATATTTCACAAACTGTGTATTTACTGCAGACCAACCTGGGGTATTCAACCTGAAAATATATGCATTATTTATCACCAAGTTATCGAACCTATTATCACATACGCTGCTGGTGTTTGGGGCCATGCTGCTAAGAAAAAGAGTTGCAAGCGATTGTTGGAAAAAACACAACGCTTGTTTGCGCTCAAAGCCATCCGAGGCTTTCGTACAGTCTCTACGACTGCTGCGCTAGCACTTTCCCAGTTCATGCCTTTAGACTTAAAAGTTACAGAAATAAATCAAATAGAAAACACTAGAAGTTCCGGAATCACCCAATATCTACCCGATGATATAACCCTTGAAAAGCCCACACCGATTCAAAATCTTTTACATCCAGCTCTCAGAGTTAAAATAGTGCCAGACAGTTTACAAACTTCAGAAGAAGACCCAAACAATTTTACACAACCAATTAATATATACACAGACGGAAGTAAATTCGAGAACGGAAGAGTGGGCGCCTCTTTTGTAGTTCTATCGAAAAATAAAAATACAATAACCAAAAAATTTAAATTACATGATAGCTGCACTGTATTTCAGGCAGAGCTTTTTGCCATCGATAGAGCTTGTGCGTGGTCTTTGCAGAGAAATATCAAAAATATAAAAATTTTCACAGATAGTATGTCATCAATTCAATCAATATGTAACCGCAGTAATACTCACCCAATAGTTGCAAATATTCATAAAAACATAAAGAAAATAAGAGAAGATGGAACAGTCGATATAACATGGGTAAAAGGTCATGCAGGCTCTGCCGGAAATGAAGCAGCTGATGCAGCTGCAAAAAGCGCAGCCAACTTAAAGAAACATTTTGATTATACAAAATTTCCCATAAGCTTTGTTAAAGCAAAAATAAAAAAAGACAATCTCTATAAATGGCAAAACCGATATCACAGTGCACCACAAGGGAAACATACAAAAGAGCTCTTACCGGACCTGTTTTCCATTAAACGACTTTGGCAAACAACAAAAATTGACTTTAAATTAACCCAAATTCTCACAGGTCATGGTTTCCACAGAGAATATTTATATAGATTTAAGATTTCAAACACAGACACATGCCCTTGCAATAACCATAGTGTACAAAATATTGACCACCTTTTGAAAAGCTGTCCCAGATTTGGTGCACAGCGCATGGAACATGAATTATACTGCCAGATGCTTAAAGTCTCTCCATACAACATACAGGAGCTTGTAACAAAAGAAGGTGCAATAATATCGTTTGTGAAGTATGCTAGTTACATAATCAATAAACTGAAATCATTCAACAGTATATAGTAAAGATATTTAAAATAAATTAGTTCTAATTGAAATTGTGAATCACAAAAGTAATAGACTTAAACTGAAACATGCTAGGCAAAAGGAATTGTATCCCATTAGCAATTCTGGCCGATCATGTAGTGAATTTCCTATGCGTATCAGTCCCGCAAGCGAACCAACGTATATTATTAAAAAAAAAAAAAAAATTTTAGAAGGTATAATTGACCTCTATATATGTGTAAAATTTTAGATTTTTCTGAGTGATAGTTTCGGAGAAAAACGTAAAAAAAACAAGTGCCACGTGGGCACGTGTTTTGTGACGCAATATCGTGCGGCTACTTTTGTCGTTTTCGAGTAGCTAACACGGAGCAGAGCCTGGAGCAGTTTTCCAATTTTTTATAAGTTAAGTGGTTCAAGAGTTATTGCACTTTAAAATTTTTGCAAAATTTGAAAATTAAATGATTTAAAAACTAAAGTGAAGACCCCCCTTTTTATTGTGCGGATTTGAAGCTATCATTGGTTTCTATATAAGTGCAAAATTTGAGACTTCTATCAATTATACTTTCGGAGAAAATTGCAAAAAAAACAAGTACCACGTGGGCACGTGTTCTGTGATGCAGAATCGTGCGGCTATTTCTGAAGTCGCATTCTATTAGTAGACGTGGAGAGGAGCCGGGAGCAGTTTTTGGAACTATTATAAGTTAAGTGGTTGAAGAAATATAGAACTTTTAATCTTTGGAAAAAATTGTAAATTAAATTACTCATAAATTAATTTGAGAACCCCTAGATTTGTAACAAAATAGTGTTAAGAGGAATATAGTTAAGGTATATGTAAAAATTCAGATTTTTCAAACAACCAGTTTTTAAGTTAAATTTTTTTAAATTATTAAGTTTTACATATATTACCTGTACGAGCAAGTACATGATATTTCAACAGTTTAGAAAATAATGCTGATATCGCGCCTGCGCGCGCGACACGTTCACTATAATTACATTTTTTATTCATAAGTATTTTCAGTACAATAAACGCTCTCTACGGAAACGGACACAGTTTTAATTACCACATCCCGTAACGTAGAAGATACAACCTACATTAATATACTACATATCAATTATATGTAGAGGGTCACAATTCACAAAATACCCCCTACATTTTGGTCCTTCGAGTTTTCGACGTGAACTAAGACTTGCATATTACGTCTACAATAGTTCAACAGTAAAGTGTATTTGAAAAAAAAAAAAAAAAAAAGAGTTATTCGTGATTCTATCTGTAGTGTCACTTTGGTTGCTGGCCTCCCACAAGCGGGTCTCACCAGCTTGATTGAGGTGCATACTACGGTAAGAGTCGCAGTCACACGTATCTGAAACCAACTATTTACAACATCGTTCTTAAACCATGGAGAACCTACTTCAACAACAG